GGGAAGTCATTCATCCTAGTGTTTTTTAGTTAGTTGTTTGAGGTACAACTAAAACAGTTAGTCAATTAACAAAAGAATAGTAATCAGCTATATTGATAATTGATTGTTGTTTTTCAGGCAAAAACATTCCCAAATTCCAGCTCAGTTGTGAGGATTTGCTGCGTTTGTTTGCATTATGTGATAGTAAAGTGAATATTTTGGGATTTTGGATGTAATACGCCGTTATGCTAGGTTTAAGGTTCTGTGATTGTGGCATTTTTCAACATTTTCTGTTATTTAATAGACTAAAGGACTAAACGATTATACAAGATAGTAATGGTCTGTCTTATCTGTAATAAAAATAAGCAATACAGTGTGCTGGAGTTTATAATTTTTAGTCAAAATCACTGAAAATAACCAGAGAAGAAGAGTATGGCATAAAGGTACCCTTGATTAGTTTTTGACCAATAGTAGCGTCATGGAGCAATGTTTGTACGAGTGGGTCCCACCTCTTTCTGCACACAGGAACGTGATACATTCCTGCAGATGTTTTCACACAATTTCATTGATTTTCACAGACATTTGACTTTAAGACCTTAAGGATACACACACATTTAAACATAAACAAACCAATCCAAAGGGCTCCTTTAAATTTGATTTGCCCAGATTTTACTGAGAGTAACTCATACATTAGGTTCAAAAGGACGTGTGTGTTTTGTTTGACCTGCTGTGTAGAGGTCATGTGTCCTGATGCTGTGTTGGTAGCTGTTAACGGGTGCGTGACCTTTGTTCCACTTCACAAATCCCATCCTCCACCTTCCCTTCCACTTATATTTCTCCACTGTGTGACTGGGGTGTGTGGTTTCATCAGGGAGGTCAGGACCTGCAGTCTTGAGTGTGATTGTCTTGTGCAAGGTCAGCTTTTGTGTACACAAGCCCAGGGTTAAATGTGACTGGAGGAGGATGGACACGAGTCAGGGTTGAAGCCGTCACACTGAAGCCACATGAGCTTCAACAATCATCCAGAAGCCGACAAACGGACGTCATCTTATTTCTTAGTGAATTGTTGTACGCCAGCATGCCCTAAACTCTCTTAGCACATATCCGCTGAGAGAGTATAGGTTGTCTCTTCCTGTTCACACATTTACCATTTGCCTTCAGAGGGTTCCTCTTTCTTGATACGAATCAAGAGTTTGTCGTCTATCAGTTGCATTTGAGCATCATCATGCTATATTCCTGTAACCTATATGTAAGTGGTTTTACACAAGAATATATTGACTCCTACTTCGATTACTGCCCTCTGGGCCTGCTGTGCTATCGGTAAAACTGTTGAATTATCAATGAATTATTGGCAGCCGGACTGAAGCAGATCCAATCAATCCAAGTCAGTAACACATGAATTTCACATGTCAACATTTTACATTTTTAGAACAGAATCAATAGTGAACAACTGCACATGCATCTACTTGTGTACAAATGAGTAAGTTGTATACAATGTTGAAGAACCTGAAAGCACCAGCTTGTCATGTTGTAATGTGTCTGTGTTAGGAGTTGTTGTCTGAATATGTTGTAATGTGTCTGTGTTAAGAGTTGTTGTCTTAACATGTTGTAATGTGTCTGTGTTAGGAGTTGTTGTCTTAACATGTTGTAATGTGTCTGCGTTAAGAGTTGTTGTCTGAGCAGGTTTGGTGAGATATTTTATTTTATTTTAATATCTTATTCACATTATAGCAAGACATTTCTCTTTATTATACAGAATCTTAAAAACATGTATGTATGTTATGACAATACACTTCCCCATGTTTTCATTTAAGAAAAATGTCCAGTTTGTGCCTGAAGACATCAGAATCAGAATCTGGTTTATTGCCAAGTTTTCACATACAAGGAATTTGCCTCGGTACATTGGTGCATAAGAATCACATTCAAGCGTAGAAAAATATAAATAAAAAGATTTTAAAAAAAATAGAGGAAATAAAAAGGAGCCACTATATACAAATATAAAGAGTGAGAGAATATCTCCAAATGGCAGGATACTTAAATAAATGAGTAGAGTTGTACAGAAATGTGCCAAAAAAGAAATTGTAGCCTACATTGGCTAGAAACAATGAGAGACACAGGCAAAGTATCCATCCATGTTTTATATTTTTTGATCCTCTGCAAATTATTACCCAAAACCCAAAGACACTTTGTTGACAATCACTTCAGACAAAAAGAAAAAAGCATCACTGACATCCTCACAATAGTCAGTTACTGTTGCGGTGTCTGTTAAGCCCTCCATTCTTGCAGGGCACAATGCAGATTTACCATCTCAAATTCTTGGTAATCTTTTGAAAACAATGGGTTGTTGTTTCAAACAGAATTAGACGACAAAAAAAAAGCAGCTTCTCATTTCTAGCTGGCGACTGTTGATTTCACATGCATAATATTGTGCTAAAAGACTGAGGCTAAAGCGACACCTCCCAGTCCGAAACTCACAGCATTTCACCATGTATCATCACATGTAGAAGACAGCCCCCTTCTTGTATGACACTGCAGAGAGTATGATAAGGCCGGACTGTGTTCCAACATATGATTTGTAATAGTTACTTATGTGGTTTGGAAACTAGTTAGCCGGACATGCTAACGATTGCATCTGACATTAGAGCAAACAAACAGTTCTATATTAATTATTAATATATTACTTGCATTTCTGTGTAGATGTCCGGTATGTCTTACTACAGCCCTGTGTATTGATCAATCCAGTAATTGTTTCCACTGTGCATTGACGTATACTGCTTTACGCAGATTCAGGCAGCAGCTGAGAGAAAGCTGCTTTTGAGATTTGGAAGCGAGCATCTTGTCAAAATGGGATTAAGTTAAAGTTTGTTTAAAGACTCCACGTGGTAATCCTCCAGTGATAAGGTTGTAATAATGAGCTTAAATCATCTGACCTGACGCTCAACACCCAAGCCGACTAGCTGCTTGGGGTCACGCTGCTAATGCTTTTCAGACGTCTCCATGAAGAGGAACATTTCTTAGGAAATAAAGTGTGACTGACCAACCATGTGTTTTTTTTTTTTTTGTAACTTCCTGGCTGTGGTTTGGAGTGACTGTTTCAAAACTACAGCTGTAGTCTGCTCTAAGCTCCAGGCTGCTGCCAACCACTCTGGATGTTCTGTTATGTGTCAAATGAAGCAGCTGCCCTCTCCCCCTCTTTTTTCAATGTCTTGTGTGTGCTTGGGTGTGGGGTGACTGGCGAGCTGGCTCTGCCATTGGCTTGTCATCTTCCCAGGCCAAGTATGGAGAGTAGAGGTGGTGGCGGGGAAACCAAGCAGGACACCAATGACATTTGCTTGCTGTTAGCCGTCTGACATAGAATAGAGCTAAACCCTATTTTCATTTTCACTTAAACTGTTAATTACTCTTTTGATTAATAACTTACTAATGTAAAACAAAACCAGGACAAATGCTAATGTTGTAGTGCTAAAACTACACATCCTCAGGTTCTCAAACAGCTTCTCTTTGTCATATATAACAACAAACTGAATGACTTTAGGTTTTGGGCTCTGCTAAGTTGTGGTTGGCATTATTCACTTATATTTCATTCACCAAACAATTAATCAATGAATAAAAAAAAAAACAGGCAGATAAACTGATGGTAAAAATAATCCTTAGTGATCAATTTTTGTTGGATATCAAATCACAAATTTCTAAAGCTGTAAGTAACCAATTTATAATTTGATACATGTTTTTTTGTTTTTTTAATGAAAGTGTGGGAGAAAGTCAAAATTGCTAGAATAGTTGGAATTTTTAATTGTATGTTGGTCTAATTGGGATAATAGGCAACTTGTTTCAAGGGGACTGCTGTTACTGGTGAAACTCACGGAAACTACTATAAATTAAAGAAAAGTTGTGGTGTTTGGACAAAATTGCAAGGTCGTGCAGGATTAGGTATTTGTTCAATTTGCGTTAATTGTAGCAATCGCAACCTTCCTGGAGGGATCAATCACTTAGAAAATTCATTTAACAAAAATTGATGGTTGATTTCAGTAGTGGGTGGGTGATATGACGCGTCAGAGATATCAGTTAATACCGTGGTACCCTTATTAATAATAATATCTGGGTGTATTAGGCCAAATCAATGAGAAGGACTGCTGTCTGGTAAAAGTGAATTTCTGCATCAATGTAACAAAATACCTTGATTTAAATACAATCCAGATAATACCCAGAATATCAGGACATAAAATTCCATATACGATAGGATTTAAAATAGGATTTGATACTTACCAGCCACCTCTACGTTTCAGCATTGTGTGATACGTTTCTGTTACAGTGGCTACAGTCACAGCTGATTTGCTCTCAGGCTTTCTACTTTTAACACTGTAGGAGACAATTTCACCTGGAAATAAATCCACATGCAAAATATTGAGGCGTAGTTCGTCTCAACTGCAGTTAATTAACTTGAAATGATACTTATCCATGTTAGATCCCAGGGAATCTGCACATATGCTCAGGTTTGTGTGTGTGTCACTCATGTGCTCACATACTCCGGGCTATTAGCATGAAAATAGGGGAATTTGTCAACATATCAATTGTGTAGAATACACAAAACCCTCTTGTAATTGGTGTGTAATTCTTCGTTTGACTAGTTTCAGCACATTGGGCGCAGGGCAACACAAGAATTGCACACACTGTATCCAGATAACGTGTGATAAGATATTGGTAATTCAGTCTTGAATACACATTAATGAAAAATTCTTAAATCGCGCCGATCAGCACTCATTCATTCTGAATTAGTCTGATAGAATTTGTGGCCTCCATTACTTTTCAATCACTTGTACACCTGATAGCCTGTTGTAATCCACTTGTGTACAATATATGTATAAATATGTTTTTTTTTTCACAAGGAAAAAAAGCTCATGGCGGTAATGAAATTGAAAATCAACCTGCTACTGGTATTGCAATCCAAGGAGTGGCTAGCAGTGCCTCACACGTCATGTGTTTCTGTTTGAAAGGGGCGTGTTTCTGCTATTCATAGTGGTGAGAACCTCAGAGGTCTATTAGAGGTCACTGTGAGTCCTTCTAATAGCAACTGCTGCAGCAAAAGGCCTTTCAGATAATATATCTCTGGACACAGTCTCTGCCTTTCTTCATATATACACTGTGGGACTGTGAGTATAGATATTTATTTTGTCTTAATTTGACAGTAATCAATGATTTCTCTCTTTGAAAATCCATTTAGCTGCATTTAAGTTTGTCCTTGTGCGGACGTACAAGTGGTGTAATTGTTGCTTGTATTTCATAGTGAGTAATAGTAACACCTGTAAGATTTAGTGGAGCATTTATGAGGTGTAATGAGTGTTTGATTATTTATGATTTATTTATTTTTATAGATGACAAAAAGAACTAAACAGCTTTTAATGGATGTTGTATTTGTTTTGATATTGAAATATAAAAATGAAGGAAGGTTTCATTGATCTCCTTTCATCTTATCTCAGAATATACTGTACTTAGTTGTAGCTGAGTTCTCATTAAAAGTCTACTTAGGAAATGTTTGCTATTTGGTAGTTTTTCTACAGTACTTTATCCCAGTTGGCACTGATCCCAGGTCATGGGCTCCTTGTTATTAATAGAAGTAGGTGAGAAGTCAATTGTTACCTCTATGATGGTTGTTCACTTGTTCATTTACCTACAGAGCTGCTACCATTTAATCTAGCGGTCAAATGAGACCGCCCAGTCTAATAACATTAAAAAACATATTAGAAAATAATAATAAACAATTGCAAATTGACTGCTTAAACAAAGCAATGAACACAGCAATGTTTCAAACATAGNNACTTTGACGGCACTCCACGGACACGCCCTTCAACGTACATGCACAAATAGTACAACTTTTAATCAGCAACATACTTTGACTGTACTGACCATTTTGAAGCAGATCAAATAAATTCCCTAGGAGGAGCTCTTTCAAATACAATGCAAAAAAACAAAACAAAAAATTAAATTCAATACAATTCAATTTTATTTGTATAGCGCCAAATCATAACAGAAGTTATCTCAACATATGCCTATAAAGCCATAAGATAATAACTTGTGCGCACAAGATAAAAAATATTTAGGGGCTCCGTAGGATGTAATGATTAAAACATGATTCCTGGTTAGATATATTAGCGAGTGAGTTTAAATAGGTCTTTCTTGCCACAGGCTCCTCTCATTTGCATTTTACATTAACATCAAGTTAAAAGGCAGGCAGACAGTTTTGGCTATCATTTGACGGCTATATTAAAATTTTTAGAGGAACTAAATCCAGGACTTTGAAGATTTGAAACCCAGTGAGTTCATTTCTAAAACATCCAGACTGGAAAGCCTCACTTCCCTTCCGGAACAAGTCGTGTAGGGTTCAGCGCAGTGTGTACAGTGTCTGAGTTCTTATGTCTGCATGGAGGCTTGTGATCTGAAAATGTGTGTGTGGAGTCATGTTTCCTTCCTGTGTCTTTTGTTTCCAAGTGCACAGCTGTTGAATAGGATAGCACATCTTCCTTTTGTATACAACACTTATGTAAGCCAAACATACCATGCAAGTGCTTCTCGGTCAGCGGTAGTATTTCTTAACCGTTTGAGTTTATGTTCAAGGTTTGACTTTCAAACCAATTCACGTCTTTCAGTTTTATGGATTTTAAACATCTCAAAGCTCAAAGACGACGCATTTAAGATGTTGTAAAATAGAGGATGCACTCAATACCTTGTTTTCTCATGATGATCATCTTTATATCATGTATCTAATAGCCTAACAGAGTTTATGTAAAGGAAGGCGTAAAACAAGAATAGCTGAACGTAGAATGAAAAGGTAAAATGTGATTCCCCGAAAAAAGGAAAATAAATTAATGATGTGTATTGAAATTAAGATAAATTAATTGCAAGATCAAAACAGGTTAAATGAGTACTTTTAAAGTCTTTTAAGATGTGATATGTGACCTATTTATGTTGAAGGACATAGTTAAGATCTTCAAAACTAAAGTTGGGAAGACCTAATAAAACAATGTTGGATTTGTTTTCATTATGTAAAGAAGATTTGAGACATTAAACACTTGATATATGTGAAATCTGAACGGCAGATCTTAAAATTGCCAGAGCCAAATAATCGGATATAGTAACGTTGCGTGCAGTGGATCACTGAATCACAGTGCTGAACGCTGTATGATTCACTGTGGATCAATCCTTGAAGCTTTATTTTGGTTTTATATTTTATGTTACTTTCATTATCACATCATTGTGCCAGAAATATGTACCAGTGCTGTATTATGTTAAACTTTACTTACTGGCAATAGCTTAACAGTGACTGGAAGAAATAAAAAATTTAAGATTATTTCCTTTTTGAAATAAACATTGTAAATGGCACAAAATAAAGCAGTAAAATGAAGAGGTTTGTGATTACGATCATAATGGATGCAACAATGGTTAAATTATGTAAACTAAAACTGACATTTTCCAAATATATCTCTGAGAGTTTCCAAACGTAATAACGTGATCTCTGTTTCCCTGCAGGATCAGTGCAGAACAGTCATGCAGGCACAGGAAGTCCTGAGACAGCTGCGGATTCCCGAGCTGGACGATCTTCGGCAGTATTTTCGAGGCTTTCCCACCAATGCGCTCATGGGCATGGGTGCCTTTGCTGCCTTCACCACCTACTGGTTCGCCTCCCGGCCGAAAGCCCTCAAGGCACCCTGTGACCTCGGCCTGCAGTCAGTGGAAATGCCAGTAAGTGTGATCCTACAACACAGAAAGAACTTAAATGTCTGTCCACCCACTGTCCTGTAATACTTTGTGTTAGAGGAATAACTGAAACATGATCCAACCTCTGGAATGCAAAAGAAAGCTAGTGAGCAGATCTCATTCAGCAGGAATGTTAGTGGGATCCTCTCCAAAAACTTTAATGACAGCTGAAGTTCTGTATCATCCTCACTCTTTGTCACATTTAAAGTGTTAAAAGAGTGAATCTGAGACTAGTTTTCTGTGCTGGTAAAGTGGACTATAGAGATTTGTTTTTCATTATTCCAGTACCGCTTTCTAATAAGGGACCATTTTATAAGGGTTTATTAGTTGGAATTAATTATTATACAGGTTGTGAAGAATCCCTTTGGTTGATGTTTGTCCTGCATTTTCAGCCGACTGTTTGTAGACCTGATGGATCAAAAACCTTTTTATTAATGACTTATTAACATTAAGAAACCCATGAGCCACGGTTTACGAACATTTATGTTTTTTTAGCAACTCGACGGTTATTCTTATGAATGGCTAATAACTGATCTATAAAGCATTATTAAATAATGTATTAACCATTAATAAAGGCATTAATTGCAACTTATAAAATTTTCATAATGCTGTGCTCCTTATTAAAAAATATTGTTCCCAACATATTGGTCCTTTGAAATATTTCAGGAGACACAAGAAGCACTCAATGGAAAGTCTGACCTAGTCACTGAGTTTAACAACAGTTTGGGGTAGTAATTCAATTATTTTTATTCGTATAGGGCTAATTTATAACAAAAGTTATTTCAGGACACTTTTCAAATAGAGCAGGTCTAGACCGTACAATACAATAGTAGCTGTTTATGTATGTGAACAAAAGACACACATCTCTCATATGATATCAACATCAATGATTGAGTCAGTAGGCATGAACCGTCAAAGGCTGAAACTGTCATTTTTAAAAACAAATGGGAGAAAATAATGAGCCTTTTAGTTTTTCTGCTGTAACATTTTCTGTCATACAACACATTTAAGCTCAAACTACAACTGCTGCATCGTGTACTGTTTGTGAACGAGTCGGCTCTATTTGCTCCTTTAACAAGGGGGGGGGCAGAGACGATTTCTTACTTTCTTTTTTTTTTTGAAAATTAGGCTAATAAATGACAGAATAATAGGATGTTCGTATAACATACTTGTTAAATATGATCCAGAAAGTCTCTCTTTCGGTAACATTAGGCCCAAGCATGGTCAGATTTTTGCATATTGCGACAGTCACCAACATACAAAACAGACCAATAAAACATTCAATACACATGTCTTTACATTATTTAAGCATCAAGTAAACACAGTATAAAATTCTGGAAATGACTTATACGCTTTAATAAGGTTTAGTATAATTCTAATTGACTAATTACATAATAATATATGAGCACACATACCAATCATAGGTCAAAACATGGCTAAATGTGTCTGAATTATGAAAGCAATAAGTGGCTCTTATTGCTGAGCTGAGTCAGCTATCATCACTATCATGTGCTGTACAGGATCTGTGTTTGTGTCGAAATATCACAGAGGAACAGTATTCCCTCCTCACACAGGTTCGGTCGGTCACTGTGATTTTGTTTGTCGCAGGGTGCAGAACGCGCAAGGAGGTCAGTACTGAACGACAGCGACGAGCCACTGACGCACTACTACAGCGACGCATGCACGATGTATGAGGTGTTCCAGCGAGGGCTCAGAGTATCAAGTGAGTGTATCTCTGGTTCCTTTTAAATATGACACTCCCTAAAAACTTAAAGTCTTATTATGATAACTCTAGTGAATGTAGATAAAAGTAACCTCTATTTTTCTTCCGCAGATAATGGACCTTGTCTAGGATCGAGGAAACCAAACCAGCCATACGAATGGCAGTCTTATAAAGAGGTGAGACCACAGACTCAGGAAATCCAACATTGCACTTGTCCACAATACACAACTAACAAAGTCACAGTACATTTTTAACTAAATAGACTTTTGTTTTGTTTTGCACAGGTGGCAGACAGAGCGGAGAACATCGGTTCTGCACTCCTCCACAGAGGACACTCTCATACAGGAGACAAGTACATTGGTATCTTTTCCCAGAACAGGCCGGAGGTACAACACATTTCATATTTTTTAGCACTACCATGGCACAGTAAAGCAAAGCTATATTTTCTTATATTGTAGGCCAATCTATAGTGTAATGTTAATGTGCCTTATATAATGGACTCAAAATATCCCACTGTGCAATGTAAAAAAAATGGCGTACAATCAATGGCCACCAACCAGAAGTGAACTGACATCATGAATTGCGAAGAAAAAAGTCCATTTAGATGATGAGAGTAATGGGTGATGCTGGGATTTTTTTCAGTGAAACAGATTATCAAATAAATCCAGTCTAATAAATCAGTGTGCTGCTCCACTATATAGACCTCAATACAGAATAAACAGTATAACCAGTGCCTCCAGGAAGTTGTAATGTTGTGATCATAACAATTGATGCAAGTGCAATCAGTCACTGTGAATTTTGCACCGCGGTTTCTTCACAAGTTTTTCCCAATAGTCCAATGAGCGTCACCCCCATCTCGACTGTAGAGCAATTAGTAAATACAATTTCAGACAAAGCCACTGTCTCGTGTCCTTGTCCTCTCACTTTCCCTGTAGATTAAAACTCTTTTAAAATATTATCTTTTTCAATGGAGGGCTTATATAATCAGCCTACTTTCTATGAGTCAGACTATAAGGTCATTGACTTTTCATGAGTGATGAATGAGTTGATGTGTTTTCTCCGTTTTCTGTCTCTCAGTGGACCATATCGGAGCTGGCCTGTTACACATACTCCATGGTGGCAGTTCCACTCTATGACACACTTGGCACAGAGGCCATCGGCTACATTATTGACAAAGGTACACAAAAGGGCACCTTCAAACGCTAACAACACACCACCTGCAGTGCTATCGCAGCGCTCTAGCTCAAGGACACTGATACTGATACAAACGTAAGTGGTTAAAGTGGTGCCATCTGTTTTTCAGCTGCCATCTCAACAGTGATCTGCGACGTAGCCGAAAAGGCTCGGATGATTCTGGACTGTGTCAGCGGAAAAGGGCGAACGGTGAAGACGATTGTGCTCATGGAGGCGTTTGACACTGACCTGGTGGCCCGTGGACAGGAGTGTGGCATAGATATTCTGAGTCTGAAGGAGTTTGAGGTGAGAATAATAATAGTAATAACTTAATCTTGCATTTTTTGTTATTAATGTCAGGTGTTCAAAAAAAGGTGCTGCCATACTTTAATATTTTTTGGTGTGCCTCACCATCACATTGTTATTCAGTCGTAGAACTAAATGGAAATTAGGCCCTGCGATGCTGTGTGTTTCAAGCATGATTATGATCAGCACTTCCTGCAGACGCACTATATCTCACTGTTGTAATGTTTTGTATGTTTTAAAGACCTTGGGGAAAGCCAACCACCAGAAACCAGTGGTGAGTATGAACAGCCCATTATGACCTGTTGATGACATGACCAAAAGCTCTTAATTCTTACCAAATTACTACAAGGAGAATCATCTTTTCAACTTAGACAATTCACTTACGTAATCAGCAGGACTGATTAGGTATTGCACTGTTCTAATATATAGCATTTTAAACATTTCTAATGCAACTGCAACTCAGGCTTCTTGTACATTAGTGTAGATCTGTGATCTTTATTACAGCTCCCTAATCCAGAGGACCTCGCGATTATCTGCTTTACATCTGGAACCACAGGTAATCACACAGCTGGTCACAACTTTAACCTTCTGGCAAAGTTATTTTTTTTTAACCTCGTGTATAATCATGATGATAATTTTCCTTTCAGGAAACCCAAAAGGTGCAATGCTTACTCATGGAAATGTAATCTCCAACACTGCAGCTTTCATTAAAATTACACAGGTAAACAAACACAGCAGCTAGGTTTGGAAGATGTAAAATTCAAGTATTGAAAATGTCTAATAATGTGTGTTTCATTCTGGTCCCCTTGTTTTTAAGGTGGATGCTCTTTCTTTGATTTACTCACTAAAATGGCGTTAATATTGTGTTAATATTGGTTTAAGAGGAATCGTTTCTTACTGCTGATGTCCCCTTGATGGTCTAGTCCTTTTTTAGGAAATTATTTAACCCCAATATTAACGGCCCATTTTAAGTGGGAGTTTAAATCAAGAGAAAGAGGCGGCAATCCCACCCTTTTAAAAAAACAAGAGGACCAGATGAAAACACACATTATTAGACATTTTTCCAATACTGAATTTACATCTTCCCAAACCTAGCTGCTGTGTTTTACCGTTAATTTTAATGGAAAGCTGGCAGTGTTGGAGGATTACATTTCCCATATAAGCATTGCACCTTTTGGGTTTCCTGAAAGGGAAAATTTATCATTCATGATTATTGTAACTACGAGGGTTAAAAAAATAACCTTTGGCCAGGAAGGTTTAAAGGTGTACCCAGCTTGTGTATTAACCGTGGTTCCAGATGGGGTTAATGTTTTGAAATGGAACTTTTCATATTTTAATCGACTATATTTATTAATATAATATATTTTCCGAGCATTTAAGTAAAGCTTCTGAATTTGTAAAATACATATAAGTGCGCCTTCTAGATAATACCAAAGACAATTGGGTATGTGGCGGTGAAGTTGGTTAAACAACACTGACCCTTGTGTGAATAAAACGAACAATGATATTAAGCATTGCACAGTAGATTATAAGCAGCTCGCTTTGTACGTCAGGGGCCGTTCAGTCCTCATCCCATCGTGGGCCTCGAATCGGCTAATTTCTCGTAAAGGGCACTATCGATTGTTGAATGGGGATGAATTAAAAAAAAAAAAGCAACATAAGAACTAAAGACAAAAAAAAAAAAAAGATAATAATAAAAAAAAAAATACTAAAAAATAAATAAATTAAGAAAAAAAAATGACGCTGCAGCGACGGTCTTCCCGTGTGTCTCGTGTGGGTAGGAGCCGCAATGATTTTGTAGTCAGATAAACCTATAGATGACACTCCAAAAGATCTATGTCAACAGAGAAGCATGCCATGCATGTTTAATTCGAGTTATTCTTACTTACATTTTCCAGAATTGTTGATCTCTAGGTCCGCAACTTGTTTAATAATAAGAATAGTGATTCTTTTGGGCAGGTACAAAACTAAGTGCTCCAGGCCTCTTTTGGTATAAATAAAATATGCGTGCGTTAATCCACACAGTTTCTCTTCACTGGTAGATCAAGGCAAAACACAACCGGCTGTAATATTTTATGAGGTGAATGGGGCATCGAATTTTGCTTTAATCGAGGAGAGAAGGACGGCAGACTTTTAAAAGTGCGTGTGGTTCGAAAGTATCAGCATGTGGGACCAAATTCTATTCTTTCAAGTAACTACAGTAATACACTTACGCGGCATCTGCAAATGCATCTTATGTTTTTGTTCATTTCGCTCTGAAATATTACTAGACAATATAGGGCATTTCTTAGCTTCGAATGAGGCACTGGTCTGTATTGTACGTATGTTCCTTGTCTATATTTATAGGTCGACAAAAAACCAAACATAGGAGGTTCGCTTCTACAGTTATATTTTTTCACTCATTCGTTTATTAATGATGCCATCTTCCAAACAGTCCATTGAACATATGACAGGCTCACTTCTGTTGTTTTTTCATCTTTGCACGTTCTTGGAGCTTCTTGGGTTTGGGGCTTCCGTCGCTCCGTCGATGAGACTCATAGATCCAGGAGCAGCTCAGTGTCTCCAACCATCCTGGGCATCTCCTACGCTGTTGCACTGAGTGATCAGGTGAGGCCACTTCACAACACATGCCTCTATCCATCTTAATGGGATAAACTCGAGTTTTGTTTTCTGACAAAAAAAAAAACAATAGTTCCTGCACTCCCCAGTTTTAAAGAAGGCTAATTGGCCAGACTGAACATGTACCTGCTGGGTGACACCATGTACAACCCATGGGGACTGGACAGCAAGGTATATCAATACGTCAACTAGTTCTGCGGCCGTATTCTAGCTTGAAGGCCTGGGAATGTGTAAAATGTACACAGATTTTCTCTGAATCCTGAAACAGTGATTCTTTTGTGGCTCACCAGTTTGCTGGTCATCGTTGGGCCACCTCCTCTGCCCTGCCCAATGTCACATATGTCAAATGGATGGAAGTGGCAGTTAAATGAACCCCTGGCAGTCGCATTTAACGGAGAAGGGAGAATAAGGAGAAGGATCAGTAACCACATCAAATACATCAAACGTGGGTGAACAAATTTGTATTTTCGTCTAGTGGTACCTTCAGTAAACTTGCCCAATTTTTTCCAGTTTCTTATAACGAATGCTTAGCTAGAAATAACCCTTAAATAGCATTATATGTTTAAGACTTTTGGTGAAATGGTCCATTATGAACACAAACAGACCTCATTCCCCTTAAAAACCAAAAAATAATAATCTGAGAAATTTATCCTACCCTAACCATCCCGAGGAGAATGAAAATGACATACACCATATGCGTAGTTCATCCCTTCCTCTTGAATAAATACACCAGTACATCTACGATTCGATTCTTCAAGACCATCCATATAAAAACGCGACATCTTTTAAATCCCCACGTTATGATACCGACAAGTACCAGAGAGAAATATGTGCAATTTTATAATGCATAT